TATTTGGTCTCTCTTCTTCTCTTGACCTTTTAAAATACTCTTATGTTTGTTCTATATATAATATTTAGGAATTTTAGCTGTACTTAGCACAGGAATGAGGAGAAACATATCTACTCCATCTTGGTCCAAAACTGGATGGAAAATAAATTTTTAAGTCATTAAAGCAATTAGAGGATTTTCTAATCATAAATCCTTGAGAGCTAAATTAGAATCACTTTATTTTTTTTTAAGTTTTTATTTATTTATTTGACAGAGAGAGAGAGATCACAAGTAGGCAGAGAGGCAGGCACAGAGAGAGAGGGAAACAGGCTCCCTGCTGAGCAGAGAACCTGATGTAGGGCTTGATCCCAGAACCCTGAGATCATGACCTGAGCCAAAGGCAGAGGCTTAACCCTCTGAGCCACCCAGGTGTCCCTAAAATCACTTTAGAAGAGTTTTTCCAACTATATACTTGGTTGTACATCTCATTCCTCACATTCCATTCTTCTGGCTTTCCCTGGGAAAGAAGTGTCATGGTACAACACCCTCCTCCTTCCTCTAACAGTGAGAATCACTGGTTAGAAGTCCTTTTACTAATCAATGTGGTTTATCTTTCTCAAGTGTGTTGGGATGGAAAAAATTGAGAACCTTGGCACATTATGGTATATGACATGAAGAAACTGAGACTGGAGGAGGTGGCACTCTTGTCACATAGCAGAGATGTGGTGAGATCAAGCCTACACATGGGTCTACAACAGTACTGTGCAAACAAATCACCTTGAAACCTTATTAAAATGCAGCTTCTGGTTCAGTAAGTCTGGAGCAGGCCCTGAGGTCCTGTATTTCTAACAAACGCTCGGGTGCTATGGACGCTTGTACACTTTGAGTAGCAACACTCTAGAACATTTGGCTTATTGTTCTTCTCACTGCCTATATGAATTGTAGTCCTTCAGCAAAGAAATAGAGAATGGGTGAGGGTTTCACAGATAAGAATCTCAATATCTATGTGCCTTCTAAGAGTAGAGGAGGTCTGAATCGTAATGGAGACCAGAGGGGGAATGGAAAGACTCATCCAGACACTAAATATACTACTGGCTCTGCACTGCATTTGCTGCTTCAAAATTCCTCTAATTTTGGTGAAGACCAAGGTTATTATTATTTTTTCATTTAAAAAAAACCAACCCATAAGCTTTTTAGCTGCCCATGTAATCTGCTTGGGGCTGTCAGTTAAGAATCTATCCTTGCCTGGGAAGGATAAATTGACCTTCTTCCTCTATAACCTAATGGAGTGCAATTATCTAACAAGTAACAATTTAGGGAGGGTACATTACAATTCACTGGCAAGGCACGAGAGAGACCAGCAACATGTGCATCTCGGTCTATTCTGCTTTGCTATAATATAATAGAAAGATAGCAGAATATGCAAGGTGTTTCCAGATTTAGGCCTTGATCCTGGCTCCACTACTAACTTTATACACAGTCTGGAGTAAATCACTTTATTTCTCTATGACAAATTTCTCAAAAGAACTTCATGATGCCAGCCTATGGACCAAGGTCTATATAAAGTGATGTACAAATTAATACTAGTGGCTCAACGTAATTGAAAGACTGCAGCCAAGGGTACCAATGAATTGAATTGTAGCCTGAGCCCTGTACTCTGAAGCCTTTGATATGTAAGATTCAGCAATCAATTTTCAAATAAATGCCATCAGTTAATAGTTATCAGCTATAAGTTGGGCTCTTTCTCTGTCAAGTACCACTGAATTTTGTGTCATTTTTGATTTGTGGTTCTATCTTACTGAGGAAATATATCCAGAACTTATTAGGGAGAGATATTGTATACTTTTCAATGTCATTGCTCACACAATCAGCATCCCAGTGTCCCCACTGCAGCACGGGACACTATGATTTTGTTTCCTCTTTCCAGTTATCTAGATTCCCATAAGAATTATGACATGATGCTTGTGTGGTGGGGATTGATTTATGACTGGGGGGGGGTGTGTGTGTGTCAGGGAACTGGATGGAATGGGAGACAACAAGGACAGTGGTGGGAATGGAGGAAGACAAGAGATTGCGAATCACAAACTAAGAATATGCCCCTGGATATCAGCACGTTGTGTGCATTTGTAGTTTCAACACCTACTGATTGACAGGAGAGCGCCCAAGTCAGTTCTGTGAGAGTATTTCAGTTGTCAGAAACCTCCTAAGCCTGTCCCAGTCTCACCCTTTATTCTTCGAACTTCTTTGTACTTGGGTTGGTGCTCTAAGCTCCTAACAGTGGGATTACGAGGCATGTGGGTATTACAGGGAGATAAATCAGGAGGCATAGATCCTTTATTCATCTGCTTTGAAGAAGGCAACTGGGCGGTTTATGGGAGCAACATTCAACTCTGTGAGTATTTCTCAACTTCTGGTGTTTAAGTAGGTTTTAATTGAAAGGCTTTGTGGGTGGTGGAGGGTTGATCTGGCTCTAAAATAAAGAAATGGAAGAAAACACACTGAACCAGTGGGCCTGGGCTGGGGCTGGGAATGAAACTGGGAGAAAACATGAAGGAAATACATCCAAATTGCCTTATAATGTCATGCAGCCAGCTAATAAGTGAAACTTGATTATTGAGAGGTTGCTGCAAAACTTGATTACTCAACTCATTTTGAAAGAACCCCACACTGACTCCTTCTTTTTTGTGGCTCCCAATTTTCTGGGAAAGGAGGGATCTGGGTCACTAAGTGACCAAAGAGCAAACAGTTCTTTACTCCCAGGGTGTCCTTGAAAGAGACCAAAATACAAGAGGGGGGACATGAGAGTGTGAGGATAAGGAGAAAGAGAGTCAAGAGGCAGCCAGAATGACCCCAGTGCTCTGTGGGTGGCCTAGCCTTCTCGCTCTGAGGCCAAAGTGTTTGTTTGTTCTGATCTGAATGAAGGTACTTGTGGACTTTTTTTTTTTTTCCTTTTCATGGCTTTGGTTAGGGTCTTCCTTGGATCTCCAGATTATTTGATTCTCTCTGCCTCAGCAGGACCCTGGTGATATTTATTGGCCCAACCCCATCAGTGCAGGGAGACCACTCCTGCACCTATCTCCTCCTCACCCCTTCTCTTAGCTCCCCAACAATAGAATTGTCTATTTGCCTATATCTTTGCCAAGAAGGGGAGACTGGGGGTGATGATAGCAGCATCAGAGATCCTGACTCCGGACCTTCTGATACTGCTCTGCCTTAGCTGGGGTTTATGGGTGATCATCTTCCATAGCTTCTTACTCTGAACTCTGCTGCCTTGCATCCAAGGTGACACTAATCCTGATTTCCTACAAAACTGTGCTTTGACGTACTGTTCTGCTGAATCCACTTCCTTCTGCAGAACAACAGTTTTTACTCTTCAAAAAGGGAAGGGCTGACACTGCTTTAAAAATAGAAAGCCATTCCATCTCACAAAAGAATGAATGAATTTCTTGACACTTTTGGAAGACAAAAATGTGAAACATCTTCTTCCTACAGCTGAAAGTAAGTCTGACACTGGATGGAGGATTATTTAGCCAGGGGATGCTCTTTTAATTCCTAGGAAAGCATGGCCAGGATAAGTTTAGCTTCTGGTGATATGCGGCATGGACAAGACTAACTTCCAAGGCAGGGAAGGGTCATATTTGCTCTCTTCCTCCCAAATGGTTTTATAGGGAGAACTGGAGGGCACATCCATGACAGAAACACTCTACGAATTAGAATGCCCTATCTACTAAAAAATGAAATATTATACATGAAATGCATAATAAATACAAAGTTTTTACCCATGGTGCAAACCCTGAGGATCAGGAGGATCCAGGGATGAACAAGGCAACTGTTCTATAAGGCTTTTGGAAGAGAATACCATTATATAATGCATCATACCTAGAGAGGAATGGGAACACCATCTGAGCCTGCGACTTCAAAATTACATATATAAATATGCAAAAGAAATTTACAAGAGAAAAGGGGAAGTATAATCAAGGAAAGATGGAAGTCAAGTGTGATTTTTAAGTTCTTTGGGGCTGCTTTTGGGGATGTCAAGGGAATCCAAGCTTACGGCAGAATTTCAAGACCAGTCATAAATTAATAGGGTGTTGGAGGGATACAGAAGATGACCCAACAAGTGCTGATGACAGTCATTTCTCTGGTATGTGACAAGGGCTCTTCAACTGTTCTCCCAGGAGAAAGTGTATAGGGAGGGCAGGTGAACCTGTGTCCCAATCACAGATTTGTTTGCTGGCTTCCTAGAAGGTCTATTACATAGTTATTATTTTTCTGAGCACTTTGCACCAAACACTTATTTACATTATGCCTTTTACTTTTCTTCATAGCTCTAAGAAGAAGGTATATTTGATTAATTTTATAGATCGAATGAGGTCCAGACAAGTTACGCAATTTATCCAAGGTCACATAGACAGTTTTTATGGAGCAGGGAATTGAAACTATGTCTATTTGAATCTAAAACACATAATCTTTACATTGCATTGCCCCCAAAGGGTAATATGACTGATTAGTTTACCTTAAACCCTCATATTATAAACTCTGAATCTGACACAGTGGAATCCTAGATAGAACTGCTAGATCAAAGTAGAATACACCCAGTAAAATTAGAATTTCAGATAAATAACAAATAATTTTTCTTTTATAAGTATGTACCATGAACTATTTAGAATATACTTATAATAAAAACCACATTTGTTATTTATCTGAAATTCTAATTTAACTGGGTGTCGTGCATTCTTATTTGTTAAATACGGTAATCCTAATCCTAGTAAACTCCCCAGATGAGAGAAGGAAAATTTGGGCTTTCTTACTATTTTGAAAGAATTGAGAAGTCCAAAAATCTTGATTGGAGAGAAATTCTCTAGTTTTCCTCTGTGGCTTTGTCAGAGCTGGGATGTGTCATCTACTGGTATAAACTCAGAGAACAATGCTACTCTTGGTTGCCTAGTAGTAGTTTCCATGGTCCCAACCACACTTGGAAGAGACACAAACTTTGCCTGTTTACCAGGGCGAGAGAGGGTCCACAGCACAAGAACTGGATCCAGTGAACAGGCGAACAGGCAGCCCATTTCCTAAAGCCACTGAGAACTTTGTGAAGTGAAGACCAAATGATGCCTTCTTTATGGTTTGGTGGAGAAATCACAGGTTCTGGCTCTCATCACCCAAAGTTTAAAGTAGTAGTTCAATGTTTCCATTTATTTATTCAACGATTAGACAAATATATACAGCACACCTGCTATGTGCCAGGCACTGTTCTAGGTTTTGACAGAAATGAACAAAAATGGAAAAAGAAGCTCACTGGAGCACATTCCAGTGGGGAAATAAGACAAGATCCATGGCATAAGCAAGTAAACCTGGCCAGGTTTGGCATCCCTGGTACCCACTCACAGATTAGTTAATGTGTTGCTATGGAAAAAGTTGAGAACTAGCAGGAGAAAATGAAAATAGTAATTGTGGAAAAGAAGATAAGGAAAAAATATCTCTTAGGCCAGGATAATAATTTAAACTGATTTTGAAAGTAATAAGAAAAAGTTGATGAACTTGAAGTCATAAAATATAAAATTTGAGGAATGTTCAGTGTGGTGGAGAAAGAGGAAGATGATTAGCATGGTCCAAAGATGGTCAGGGAGAGTTGAAGCTAAGAATATTAGCATAAAGTCTATAATTTATAGATTATATAAATAAATAAATCTTCCATGTAGCAGAGCATGGAAGTGTTTGGCTCAGAGTAAGAGATTAGGGGTACTTAGAAGTTCTTTGGTGTTTTTTAGACTCTTCCTTCCTAGGAGAAGTATTATTAACTTTTGTGATAGAAAGGAGAAAGAAGAAAAGTCATCCTTTAGCTTAGCATATTTACTTTTAAAATTTATCTTGTTAATACATCCCTATTTGTACTTGAAGAATGACAATGTACATTTCTTTGGCTAAAATCAGTCTGTGAAAATTATATTGGATAAGTCCATGATTTGGATAGGAGAAAATGTTGAATATTTCAGAGAAATGGGTGATCAAAGAACCTCATGTCTGAATATGGAGTTAAAGCATAAACCTACTACTGAATCATCTTCCATTGATTTTCTCATGTGTGTGTGTACTGGGATGTATCTCATACTACATGGGTGTTAGTGTCCCTGGTTCAGAGCTCTCCCTGTTATCTCCCAGAACTAGGAGAGGAGTATCTTGATTACACAAGGCTTAAACAGTGTAAGGTACTGTAAAATAAAAAGCCCATAAAATGTGAGGCAATAAACATTAAGATTCAGGTTATTGTGTAGTAGGGTGGAAAAATATATAAAACTTAAAGAACATATCAGTGCTGTAAAGACTATAGATAGCATTCAGTCCATTTTCCTGTGTTCACAGATGATGATCACAAAATGGGAAGTACTTATCATAATAGATTCACATGGAAAGCTTGTGATAATTTATTGAAACAACACATCTATCTAGATTTTTCGTTTGTAATCTATCTGTTGTCAGTCTGCATTCCACTACATTGAGTGATTGATTTATACCATATTTTCTTGAAAATCTCTTTAAAAGATGATTGATTCTTCCCTTTTGTGTCAAGACAAAGTCCTGAGCTTTTCTGACTTTTCCAGTGAGGGTCTAAGAAGCAATGGTCCCTGTACCCTGAGAATCTTTTTTTTTTTTTTTCCCTCTCACCATCTAAGGAACCTGAAAGAGAACCATCAGACACCCAACGACATCAGAATGAGCGACAACACTACTTTGGCTCCTCCAGCTTCAAACCAGGGTCCCACTACCCCACGCAAGGGGCCCCCCAAGTTTAAGCAGAGACAGACTCGCCAATTCAAGAGCAAGCCTCCTAAGAAAGGTGTTAAAGGGTAAGACCAAAATGAAAAAGAAGACTTTCTTTTTTTTCCCCCACAAGCCTGCTTTGGTTTTGAGAAACTAATGCTCCCAATATTAAATAGACTTAGAAAGATTTCTACCCCATCCTCTATTTTCCTCTCTACCACAGTCTTTACGGAATCAGTTAGTTTTTAGCCCTGGAATGCTTTCTCTCTCACCCACCAGGTCTGTGGTGACATTTAAAACAACAAATGGAGATGGTCATAGCAACCTTTGACTTGACCTTCCAGACTTTTCTTGACCACTCCTCTTCACCAGTACACCCTATGGTTTAATTTGGAATAATAAAACACAGGCCATTTCCAGAACACAGAGTTTATTTTTATGGCTTCAAATGTTAAGTCTTCAATTCTTTATTTTTCTCTTTCTCTTCTTGGCAAAATCCAATTTATTCTTTAACATATATTCATATGTTAATTTCTCTTTTGAAGCCATTACTGACTCTCTTAGACAAATGTGATCATGACTTCCATGTTTGCATTTCATACATTCAGCTGTGATAACCTGTATTGTCTTACGTTACGTTTATTTATTTACATCTGTTCTCTGAGATTGAAGTTCCTCAGAGAAAATTCATTTTTTTCTTAATTCTCTATGTTTAATACAATGCCTGTCACATAGTAAATGCTTGATAAATGCTTTTGTATAGCTAACCAAATAGATGAATTAATCATTTTAATGTCTTTCATACTGTGTTTTCATTCCAATTCTTCCTTCCTTCCTTCCTTCCTTCCTTCCTTTTAAGATTTTATTTATTTATTTATTTGACAGAGAGCTCAAGAGAGCACAAGCAGGGAAAGCAGCAGAAGGAGGAGAAGCAGGCTCCCCACTGAGCTGGCAGCCTGATGTGAGGCTCCGTCCCAGAACTTTGGGATCATGACCTGAACTGAAGGCAGAAACCCAACCTACTGAGTCACCCAGGAGCCTCCATTCTATTTTCTATTTTTAAAAGTGGAGCTTGACTAAATTTCCCCAAGGATAGTTCTAGTTAGCTCTCAGTTGTCTTAGGCTAAATTTTTATGAGGGGCAAATCTCACCACAGAGACACACTGTCTGAAACCAGCCTGAGTCACTTTGTCTTTTCCCCAGGTCAATGCAAATAAAATATTTCTCAAAGACAAAAACTTAAACCTCTTCCTGCCCCTTTAGTCAGGAAGTTGTCAGTAGGAGACATTTCAGGATCCTTTCACTCTGATGTCAGCTAATTTTTCTTTTTTTCTCTATAGGTTTGGAGATGACATTCCAGGCATGGAGGGGCTAGGAACAGGTGAGCCTCCCAAGACGTGGACTTTCACTTGGAATTTCACCACTATCCATTCTTTAGGCCTCAAAGGGCAGTGAAAAATTACAAGGAATAGCTAAGGCAGCAAGCAGATCCTTGAAGACATAGAAGTGTGAGGGTTAGTTTAATCTCCTCAGTAAATACACATGTGCCCTGAGACAAAAATTCTAATAGAAATTAAGCTAAGGTCCAAAGATACTAAATTCTCTTGTTCTTTACATGCTTCCTCAATGCTTGAGGACATCAAGTTGTAGACTTTAATGGTAGAAAGATTCTCAGGGTTTGTCTATCCCAACTTCATCATTTCTTCATAAGAGAAATCTGAGACAAAGAGGAATGAAGTGACAGTAGGAGGCCACAGAGTGAGGTATTGGAAGCAAGGGAGGAGCCTGGAGAACTTTTTCACACTACCAGACAAAGCACTCCCTAACCAACTTCCTCTTTTTACATATGCTCTGGCACCCAGAACAGGGCCTACACACTGAATGTACCCAATCCAAGATTTTTCAGTTGGCTAGAAAAATTGGATTTGTTGGATAATGAATGAAAATGACTGGATCTTCCCTTTAAAAATACTAAACTTTATTTTTTAGAGCCATTTTGAGTTTGCAGAGACCTTAAGCAGGAAGTGTAGAGCTCCTGCATACGCCTGTACGTAGCTTCCCCTATTATCAGCGTCTTGCATTGGTGTGGTACATTTGTTGTAAATGATGAGCCGGTGTTGGGAGCACTATTATTAGTGAGCATTCATAGCTTATATTAGGATTCATTCTTTGTGTTGTCCAGTTTTGACAAATGCACAGTGTTGTGCATCCATAACTACAGGTACATACAGAATAGAGGCCCTAAAAATCCCCCGTGTTCTACCTGCTCATCCCTTCTCCCACCCTCCACAAACTCTTGACGACCACAAATCATTTCACTCTCAAAAGTTTTGCCTTTTCCAGATTGTCATATGGTTAGAAGTATACAGTATATAGATTCTGTAGCCTGGCTTCTTTCACTTAGCAATATTTATTCATTTAAGGTTCCTCCATGTCCTATATGGCTGGATAGTTCTTTTTTTTTTTTAACCACAGAATAATATTTCATTCTATGGCTGTATCACAATTTGCTTATCCTATTAAAAGACATATTTTTGGGGCACCTGGGTGGCTCGGTGGGTTAAAGCCTCTGCCTTCGGCTCAGGTCATGACCTTAGTGTCCTGGGATCAAGCCCCACATCGGGCTCTCTGCTCAGCAGGGAGCCTGCTTCTCCCTCTCTCTCTGCCTGCCTCTCTGCCTACTTGTGATCTCTGTCTGTCGAATAAATAAATAAAATCTTTTAAAAAAATAGACATTTTGTTGTTTCCAAATTTTCGCAATTATGAATAATTCTGCTATAAACACCACTGTGAGGGGTTTTTTTAAAAAAGATTTTTATTTATTTATTTATTTTTTTTTTTTTGAGAGAGATAGCAAGTGAGAGAGCATAAGGGGGGGGGCGATGAGGAGAGGGAGAAGTAGACTTCCCAATGAGCAGAGAGCCCGATGTGGGACTCGATCCAAAGACCTGGGCTGAAGGCAAATGCTTAACCGACGGAGCCACCCATGTGCCCCATTGTGCAGGTTTTTGAGTGAAGGTATTTTTAACTCATCCAATACACTTTTGATAAATGGTGTGATTAGTAATCAGTGTCCTTACCAGGCAATTCTCAGTGTATTTGCTTTTTACAGTCAAATGTCACTCCTGGGAGCTCAAATACATTTTCCAGCTATTTTTTAAATCTCATTTGCTATTCTGTTCAATCAACTGCTTCTGTATTTTGGCCAGACGTATTTAAGACCAGCAGATTTCCTTTGGGCTCTGGAGGATATGCTTAACTCTGCCAATGTATTTGGAACACTAGAAAGAGCTTTATACTGAGGGGAGATCTGAGATCTTCGGCTTGGTTTTAATCCCATCTCTATTACTCTGATTTTTTTTTTTTTTGTAGGTATTTAATCTCTTTGGGTTCCAGTCAGCTTCTCCATAATTCAGGGATAATAGCATTTTATTGCCTGAAGCAAAAAATTGGATTAGTAGATGCCTTGAGATTACTTCTCAGTATGCAACTGGATATATTAGGCATTTCAAAATCTAAAGGAACTAGAGTGAGTCAGAGAAGCCCAAGGAATGCATCTGAATGGGCAGGGAGTAAGAAGGCCCTGGATTTCCAGATCATGGGAATTTAAAGTGCTTCTATTTCTCATTTTAACCCTTGGCCTGACTAGAATTCCACTTGTGTTCTTTCCATAGTTGTTGTGCTTTGAGGAGACCCTGTTTGATCGGTGACCTGCACCCCCTCAGGCTAGCTCCAGTCAAAAGCCTTGGGTCATCTCTCCAAAGAGCTGCAGAATGAAACCAATGGAGATACCTACCTGGGGTGGGGGGCATCAGAACCGTGCAAGGGATTAATTAGGCTGTCAGTCTAATCCTTCCTGGGCTAAGGGCCATTATAGGTAACTTTCTGGTTACTGAGACAACGAATGGGAGAGAGGAATGAGGTGTTTCTGGCCAAAGGATGTCTTCTGGAGCACAAGAAGGCTTCTTGAGGCTCTGGGGGACGGGGGCAGTGAGGCTGGCTTACAAGCTTTTCTTCCCTCTCTTGCAGACATCACGGTGATTTGTCCCTGGGAGGCGTTCAGTCACTTGGAACTGCACGAGCTTGCTCAGTTTGGGATCATCTGAGGCACCAGAGGTTCTGCCGTTCTCAACAGCAGCTGCTGTAGTTTTGATTCCTTTTGCCCTATTGATCTGCCAGAGTCTTGAAATTCAGCTGTTAGGAAGTGGTTTCTTCCGCTGACACAGTCATTTCCCCTAAACTGCTGCGAAGAGCTCTCAGCGTCAGACCCTCTCCTGCCATATAGTTCAGCTCAGAATAGTGGATGCAGACTGACTTGCTCGGTCATTTCAAACTTGACCACCTTTTCTTATCAGCTGCTTAGAATTCATTGATAGTTCTCTAAATGTTGTTTATTTGTGAAGTCCTTCAAATCTATTTGAAGGCATTCCCTGCAGTTAGTAGCAGCTTTTAAAGATAACATTTATGTCACTCCCTTCCCCTTTTCATTTAATAAAGGACATACTGACCTTGAATCTGATGATGCGGTTGTAGTAAATGCTGTATGCAAATATCTGATACCCTGTTCTGAGAGTCAGTTAAACAAAGAAGGGCGGTCCTCCAGGAAACAAGCACAGGGCATATGAAAGAGTGTGGGAGAAGAGTCAAACCCTGATTCTGCTTTGTAACTTTGTACACTGTGCACGTTCTGGGTCTTAATTTTATGGAACCGGGTCATCCCTGAGGTCCTAAGCAGCTTGTACAAATTGGACAGCCTTATGTTTGATGGAAGACTGGAGATTCAAACTCAGGAATCTGATAATGTAAGCCTTCCTCTCCCTGCCTTGGCTCAGCTGATTGAAAAGATTTAGATGCTAGAAAGTTTAGACTTAGATGCAAAGGACAAGTGGTTGAATCCTCTAGATAAAATGATGGGTTGCTTCACCGTTGAGGTTGTGTCAAATGTAATGTGCACATAGCTATCTTTCCCCAATACTTTCAAGGCAATTGTGCAATTCAAAGCCCGCCTCTGTCTTACTTGGATGGTTTGGGTACCAGCTGTATTAATTTCTTCATTTCACTTTTGTAATCTGTGGTGAAAGAATGGAGTAAATTAACTGAAAGGAGAGGCGGGATTATAGAGAGGAAAGAGATCTGGGTTCCAATCCTGACTTGACCAGTAAGTTACTCTGTAATTTGGGACAAAGTTTTCTCCCTTTGGATCCTCTAGGTTGCCTGAATCAGATAATATAAGGTTTGAGGTGGTGATAATTCTATGGTATTGAGGCCTGCAGAGTCTAAGTAAGAGAATTCAAGGAGCTCACACTCAAGAAAATGTCTTGTGCTACAGGCTCCACACCGTTTTGCACAAATGACCTACTGACCTCTAGTCAGAAGACTAGAAGCCCAAGGAAGGCATCTAGATTAGTGTGGGGAAAGGATACTGTGGCCTTCCAGACCATGGGAATTTAAAGCACTCCTATTTTTTTTTTTTTTAATTCTTGGCCTGACTAGAGTTCCATTTCTGTCCCTCCACCCCCACCCCTTAGTAGAAAAGAAAAAGTACAGAAGAAAAAATAAAGTATAAATTCAAGAGTAGAACCGTGACGTGCAGGAAGTGTAGCCTGGATGTGTGCCTCCCTCTCCAGGAGGGACTCCAGCCTCTGCCCATGTCCCTGTTTTCTATCTGGCGATGGTTCCATTTGATAGCCAGGGCCCCGGGCTGCCCTCTTTCATTACCATATGCCTCTTGGTGATGGAGGTCCTGGTTCTTGTCCAGCTAGGTGAGACTCTGGTCCACATTTGGCTTACTCTGCAAATGTTTCTCTAAACATTTTAAGATGCACCCAGAGAAACATACTCAATGGCCAGGCTGGAGAAGGATCTAGAAACCCTGCTACATGAAGAACTGTTGAAGGAATGGATAATATTTAGCCTAGAGGGAGAAAATGATCATTGCCAGCAAATATTTGAGAAGTTGTAATGATCAGGATGAAGTAGATATATTTTATGAAGTATTCTGGCATTTGGCAGTACTCTGGAACAGATAAATTGAAAGCCATTCAAATCCCAGAATCCTATTCTTTCCATTTCTAATTCTACATCTACCATTTCTATTATTTCTAATAAGAAACAAGAAAGCCCTTCTTATATAAATGGCACCTAGGAAAGAGATAAAGGCAAATCATGGTCCCCATCAAAGTCCTGGCAGCAGAGATGCCACACTCAGAGTAACTGAAGAAGTTTAAACAAAGGGACTATTTAAAAAGGCTTGGGGTAGGGGTGCCTCACTGGCTCAGTCAGTAGAACATGTGACCCTTGGCTTTGGGTCTTAAGTTCAAGCCCCACATTGGGTGTAGAGCTTACTTAAAAAAAAAAAAAAAAAAAGAATAAGCTAAAAAAATCTTGGGAAAGGTTAAAGTGTATCTATAAAAGGTAGGACAGTAACATGGGGCTAGCCACACTGTTGGGGCTACAACGCTTCCAACCTTACACCTGACTGGAATCCCAGTAGGTCTTCTCTATAAGAAAGGCCCCCAGAAGGGCCACGGTGATCACAGTGATCAACCCACAGTGATCCTGTGAGTCATCAGGAGGGGGTGGGGAAGAGGCTCATCGACAACTCAGTGTTATTCTTCTCCCATTCTCTACTCTCCTGTTGATGCCTCCCATTGGATAAACTCAGTTGGAAGTCAGAAGACAAAGGAGCCCATTGATGTGGTCTACAGTTCATTTCCAACAGCAGGGATCAGGTGGAGAAGGGTGGAGAGTGGGGACAAATGGGGACTATCCAAAATGGGGAGCGAAGGGACAAATGGGGACTATCCAGCGGGGCACAGTAAGCAAAAGCAGATGTCATTTGTCCACCGGCGATTGTTAGTTGGAGTTGGGAAATAAGCCTGGGTATGTGTGAAACCTGCGAAGGTAGAGGAAGGGCAATGTCAGATAGGAGAACACAATAGATAAAAGAGAACAATCACAAGAGGAAGTTATAGTATTTAAGGGTTTGGAGAATTTGTGGAAATGTTCTGACACTTTCTTGATAATAATAACCACTGAGGATTTCTTGGGAAAAACACAGAATTTGGTTCCATTCCAGATTTTCTGAATAAAGTTCTGCAGGGGTGAGATCTCAAATCTTTTATTTTCAAGAGGGGGCTCTAGGGTATTCTTTTAAAGTTGTGTCGGTTTGAAAACACAGATGTGGTCCCAGGCTACTTTGGGAACATTAGGAATTAGAGAATTCCCGTTGCCACCCAGACCGATGGGTGGGTCTGGGTGCTGACACAGGGTCCATGTGCCCCTCATAACGTATGCAATCGATGTGAGAACAAGAACTAACATTTGGGTGTCCCGACTCTTAGATTGATAGAATAGACATGCCTCACGACTTCAGACCTAACCCAGTTTAAATGCTTCTCAAATTGCACAGAATGTCAGAGAGTTTGGAATGTAAGTGTTAGACTGAAGCAGTTCCAAAAAATGTAGGGCCAAACAGGCACCATGGCTCCTAGGTGAATCTCTTGCCATTGTCTTGAGTGGTGGTCACCCTTCCTCTGTAGCCTCTGTCTCTCCCTGTCTTCATCTTCCTCCTTTGACTGAAGTAGGGGGGACGAGGGGAGGGAGAGAGCTTTGTCCCAGCAGGGGAGACAGTGTCCCTCCTTCATTCTCCACCCCTTTTCTATTTGTTCACATTATTGGATAGAAGTTGGGGTTGGTAGTGCTGGTGACATAGGCACCAACCCTAATTCTAGAGCTTAGGAGCATTACCATCCGAGCAGAAAATCATGTGTAAGGAGAAAATCCTCCTCCAGAGTGCCCCACTGCAGATAAACAAATGCAGCTATTATTAAACAATTCGAACTATGCAGTTTGCCTCTATTTTTTCCCTTTGCACAATGAGAAAAACAAGAATCACCATAAACTGAGGAAAGGAAGGAAAGTATTTTCTCAACAACTAAAGAAGTGAGGGGAAAACACACATAGAGAAAGATAATCAGTTAGACTAAGATTCTGCACAAGAGGAAAACCAGTCACTCGAGACTGATCAACACAACAACTAATATTATGACAACTGAGCAAATATAACCCTGCATTGTTTTAAAGAGAGAAACAGAAAAGGACTTATATTTTAGAAGAGGCCAGAGGGAAAGTCATAGGCCACCAAAATTGCGTGCTTGTATAAACTAGCATAATGCTTTCTGCAACTCCAAATGAGTTATTTGACTCTCCTCTTACTTTTTAAGGGCAGAGTCAGACTGATGGAAACTGGAGTTTAAAACAAGAATCGTAAACCTAAAACATAAATCCACATCAGTCTCACCATGCCCTTATAGCCAAACAATCAGGAGGGGTGAGTTCTGCCCGGCTGTGCTGCCTACGATCCGCTGGACATCTTGGGCTCAGTGTTCGAAAATAGAGCAAAGATTTTGGACTAAATACCAAAGGAAGCGAGGTCCCTTGCAGTATAAAATTCTAGAAACCAAGTAATAGACCTGAGCACATTTCAACCATGAACAAACCATTCTCTTTCTGGCCAGAAGACCTAAGGCACTGAGTCCCCAGCTCTTTTCAAGTATAATACTACCACCTGCTGTAATGAAGGAGCACCTCACGGACACTTGGAAGACCATTTCTATCGGAAAACTTGTAAATCCATGAATCTGGTTCTGAATTTGTCCCCATTCACTGACCCGTTTCAGTTGTTGTACTCCATGGGTATTTATGTGTATTAAGTGCATGCTTATTCGTGCCTGAGATAAACATTAAAAGAATATACACGGGAACAAGGTAAATCTCATTTTTACCCACTGCCCTCTGTCTCCCGCCCATTCTCAGGCAATCCCTAGTTACTAGTCTGGTGTGAATACTGCCAGAGACGATCTTAAGTGCATGCATCTTTCCCTTTGCATGACGATCACGTACTGTAGTCACTGTTCCATACCTGCTTGGTCACCTTCTTTTTTTTTTTTTTAAAGAGTTTTTTATTTATTTGACAGACAGAGATCACAAGTAGGCAGGGAGGCAGGCAGGAAGAGAGGGTGAAGCAGGCTCCCCACTGAGCAGAGAGCCTGATGCGGGGCTAGATCCCAGGACCCTGAGATCATGACCTGAGCCAAAGGCAGAGCCTTTAACACACTGAGCCACCCAGGCGCCCCGCTTGATCACCTTCTTATGCTGGGGATTGCCCCATGTCTGTACATTTTCATGTACTATATATATATATATATATATATATATATATATATATATGAAATCTATCTATCTCTCTATCTATCCATCTACCTATCTATATACACACACTTTTCCTAACACTCTTGTCTATGTATAATATTACTAAATTTTTATTTTGCCTGAGATTGAGCAGGTTTTCATGTTTAAAAATCACATTTATGAAAAAATCAATTTTACATCTTTATGAATTGTCTTCTTATATGCTTTGCCTATTTTCTGATAAGATGTTTGATCTTTGTACTGAACTGTAAGATACTCATCTCTATCTAACTGTC